AAGCGTTTCGAGCCGCAAACAGCACTCGAATCGTGAGGGTAACTACCCGTCGGACGACGAATCGAATGGCGGGGCCACGCGTTCGACACGCGTTCGATTGCCGTCGTGCTCGCGGGGCGCCGAGAGACGCCGGGTCCGGATTACGTCCTGTGTCTCGCGAGGCCCGGCGTGCCGCGCCGTGCGGAGGGACGCGACCCAACTTTCTAATGGCTGCCGCGGTGGCTGCCGCGGTGTCTGCGCGCCTCGCGGAGGGAAGTGTGTTATTTGTAGCGCCGTTTCATCTGGAGACAGCGCCATGCAGCCACAATGCAAAGTCGCGACGACGCAATTGTTTCCAGCCTCCGTTTCCGGAGTGTTCGCCGCGAGGAGGAACCCCGCCGCCGCCGCCGACGGAAGGTGCCTTTTAGCGCGTCCACTGGAAAAAAGAGAGAGAGGAGGCGAAAAAAAACAAGAGAAGGAAGGCGTTATTTCCGATTAACTTGGCGGTTTATCCGGCGGCGTCGTGAGCTTAGCGGAACGACTTCTGCAAGTGCGCGCGCGGGACCGACAAAGAGTCGACGTGGATCACCGCCGGGAGAGAGAGAGAGAGAGAGAGAGAGAGAGAGAGAGAGAGAGAGAGAGAGAGAGAGAGAGAGGGGGGGGGGAGGGGGGGGACAAAGGAGGAAGAAAGGGCACTGTGCCCGCGGCGCACACTGGTTCAGATTTCTAGGCCGGGCTTTAACAAAGCACGCGGTGTCGGTGACAAAGTAATAGTCATGTTGGCCTCCAAACTCACGGCCATCTGCGGGCAAGTTCTGCCGCGAGTTTAGTCCAGTCCAGTGCTGCCACACAAGCAGACGAAAATGAACGGTTTGCGTTTCTCAGCCGTGTCTCGTGAGTCCTTACTGAAAAAGAAAGGAAGATCTAAAATCGAGATGGCCTTTTTGGCGGGTCCATCGACGCCGTTTACGATGTAGGGGGACGGGGGCCGAGGGTTCGGCCTGATTCCACCGGGGTTTGGATAACCGAGACGTCAGTGTTTTCTGGTCGAAGCTAGCCGTCCCGCCGTCCCGGCCGCCTAGTCCTCTGGGAGTCTGGGAGTCCGGCCAGGTGTGTCCGTGGGAACCACTGGGAAGGCCGGAGGCACGCCACTGGAGGCACACCGCCGGGGCTCATCCCGAAAGGCCGGATTGGGGCACAAGGCTTGTCGCACCTGTAAACTGGTGCAGTGACCGCCCGGCGCGGCTCACACACACACACACACACACACACACACACACACGGGCACGCAGGTGGGGGGCTGTTACGAGAACTCACGGCGCTCCATAGCACTGATTCCGGAGCGCAGGTGGTCCCGTAGGACTCATGCATGGCTTAATGAGGTCCATGTCGCCTCTGCCGCCGAGTGAGTAACCCCAAAACTGCCGGCGAACGAAAGCGAGAGAAAGCAGAGCAAAGGTGCCCCGAGCGGGGTCCTGGCGTGTTTAGTTCGCATGAAGACGAGCTGGTCCAGTGGAAGGGTTCGGAAGCCTTCTGGACGCCTTCTGCCCTGGCGGCGCAAGCGGCAGTCTGGCCAGACACTTCTTCCCCTTCGAAATGGGTCGGGGCTACAAGTATAAATGGAGCACTGAGTCAGTCTTTGTGTATTCTCGCTTCTTGCTGCACCTTTCGCTGTTCCCGGCCGACGAAACACAGATGAAGCAAAAATCCGAAATGGGGTGAAAAAAAAGAGAGAGAGGGAGTGAGAGAGGAAACGGTCGGACGTTGAATAAGGGAAAGGAAGGGGGTGAAAAACGCAGTGTTCTTCTTATTAATTACGACTCCAGACTCATTAAGAAGTCATGGTGAATTGCTCCGCCGCGAGCTTCTTTCTCTCTCCCTCTCACTCCCTCTCTCCCTCTCTCTCCCTCCCTCTCTCTCTCTCTCTCTCTCTCTCTCTCTCTCTCTCTCTCTCTCTCTCTCTCTCTCTCTCTCTCCCTCTCTCCTCTCTCTCCCTCCTCTCTCTCTCTCTCTCTCTCTCTCTCTCTCTCTCTCTCTCTCTCTCTCTCTCCCACTTCGCCGCTCCGCCGGCCACGATACGTTCCGCTGACCGTCCGGAACGGAGGGCCGGAAGAGTGTAACACTGTAACAGTATAACAGTGCAGTTGTTAGGCAGAACGCTGACGGCGCCAAAGCGAAGCAGTCAGAGCGGCCTAAGCGCAGCGCAGTGAAGCACCTTCACATTTTCCCGCTGCTGGTCCACCTCTCTAGCTGCGTGTCCACCTAGCTGCCTGTCTGTCTCTAGTCTGTCGCCGACGTGATGAAGTGTCCCGTGATTCGAAACTCGTTTGCTTTCGGCGCCAAGAAGCGGCAGAAGTGCCCTCCCCGTCCCTCGCCCCCTCAAATGTGTCGCCCAGACGCTGCAATTTGCATAATTGCGTAAATAACTCACGCAAATAATCATTAAATCTGGCCGGGAAGGCGACCGCGCGCCCGGACGGCGCCAACAGGAAAAGCAGGCCAAGCCGCCGCTTCAAAATACTCGACTGGTGAGTCTGGGGTCGTTAGAGGCGCTCAACATCTGAACATCCGTCTAGCGGTAACCACGCACTTGAGTGGCGTGCATTTAGCATTTAGTGCGGATTGCCCTGCCCCGGACGGCACGGCTCAGCACGGCACGGCGCGGCACGGCACGGCGCGGCACGGCGCGGCGAGAAGCGCTTTTCAAGAAATTGCTGTTTTGATTCCCCCGGCCGCCGCGAGGGGCGTTGGCTGCGCTGGCTGCGCTGGGCGCGCCGCGCTAATTGAGGCATCGCGCTGCATAGCATTGCGTAGCATTGGCAGCTGTCTCTCTCGCACCCCCGCGGCCCGGCCCGAGAGCCTGGCCGCCCGGCCCGTGAGTGCGAGGCAGATGGATCGTAATTGGTGCCCCACAAAGACAGACGCTACCGCGCTACCGCATTGCGATGCCTGCATCCAGGACGATCCGGGACCGCTCCGGCGCTTCGCGTCGCTGCCTCTTCGATTGCATTCTGCCGCGCGGAAGGAGTGAGACAGCGTAAGGGGAAGAGAGAAAGGGAGAGAGAGGGCCGCTCTCGTGACCCCATTCATTTCGAGTGGGCGGGGCGCACCGTGGACCGCAGCAGCCACACTGGCGAGGCAAAGTTGTTCGAAAACCTGAACGAACAGTGGAGGTCAAAGTCAACAGGGCTGATCCAGCCAAAGTTGCGGCGTGTCCGAACGGAGGCCCGGTTGGCTTACCTCCCCGGAAGTACTTTTCCTAACGAGTCGGCAGCATCATGAAACTGCGACAAACTCCGCCTCCCTCCCTCCCTCCCACCCACACTCCCGCAAGGCCACGTACACACGTCGACCCCGTTGAACTGGCTTCCAAGCCCATATAACCATAACCAGCTCGGCGTGTCAAGGCTCGCCGCTCGCACCAAGTTCCCTTTGAGAATCCGCCACTAAATTCCCCCTCCCCCTCCCCGCGTTCATCCATTCCTCTTTGGTTGGCTCGTCGGCCCGGCCGAGTATCCGCCGCGGCTGTGGAGCATCCGCTTATCACCGGAGATGGGCGCGGAAACGCCCGGAAAGGTGGAGGCCAATTTAACGACGGCCCCCCTGGCTCAGCCGCGGCTCAGCCAGCACTGCCAGCAGCCAGCCGGCTGGGCTTGGGAACGCACAGGGCCGTCCCTCGGGCCCCTCGCACGCAGGGTGCAGTACAGAATACCTCAACCAGGGTCTCTGCGTTAAAATTCTTCAACACATTGCGTCGAAAATAATCCCATGTCTGTCGAATCTCGGTTCAACGACCGCGGCGTAGTGTGGTGAGAGCTCGCTGTTCTCTCTCTCTCTCTCTCTCTCTCTCTCTCTCTCTCTCTCTCTCTCTCTCTCTCTCTCTCTCTCTCTCTCTCTCTCTCTCTCTCTCTCTCTTTCATTGCCCCGTTGTTTGGCGTCTTAACGCGCAGGGCGCAACGCCGTAACGTTGACCTCCCCGATGTTCTAATGACGGCCATTTATCCGGCAGGTCCGCCCCTTCGGATTCAATTACCGCGACGGCTAATCTCGTTCAGAGCTTTAATTATTTTTCACGCCCGAGAGGGATGCACCTTCTTTGCGGCGCTTTGCGGCGTGCAATGTCTCGCCGGTGATTGGGCGATAAAGCATAATTTGAACGTCCAATCGAGACTCAAATTATGCCTCGAGTTAAAAGTTTTGGGTTATTAATACTTTTTCTCGGCTAATTTGCAAAGTTGAGGCTGGGCTTCCCCCTCAGCCCTCGGCTGCCCTCGGCCCGCGGCCCGGCCTTCCCCCTAGAGGCCCCTAGGCGCTCTCCTTTTGATTTAGTTTGGGCTGTGTCGGCCGACTCGGTTCGGTTTGGCTCGGCTCGCTCGAGCTGCAGGCCCAGCCAGCCGGCCCAGCCCGATATGATGCAGCCTGGAAGTTTGGGCCACTCCAAGTCCGGGACAGGTATGAAACCCTAGGCCTGGCCGCGGCCGCGCCGTGGCGCCGTGGCCTGGCTTGCCTACAGGAAAGTTTGCCATGTCGCAATTATTCTGCACAATACCAAAGGTCCCCCCACCCTCCTCTCTTTGCGTTTCTTTTTTTCGATCTTTTTACCATTGACTCTCCCTTCTGAGCAAAATGGACTCATCCGGCTCAGCCTTTTTTTGTGAGCGTTGTTTTTTTTTTGTTTCAGTGTAAATTTGAAAAGGTTTGACTTAACTGTGGAGCTGGGGAAAGTTGTGTGCGGTGTTGTGCGCAGGCAAGGCGGGGTGGAGCCCTAGGCGGCCCTAGGCGGCCCTAGGCCTGCATTGGAGAGTACACTGATAAGGCACGACTTTGACGCCACACACTGTCCGAGGTGCGCCACTGTGTGTGTGGGAGGGGCGGGAGGGTTCTTGAGGCTGATCTACCAGTCTGCCTCCAAGCAGCCCTTGCTCACACACGTGGAGTAAGAAAAGTGTCTGGGAGTGCGACGCGCGAGCCTCGCCAACTCTTTCGCCGCTGGTTAACAGTGTGGCGTGTGTCTGTTGCAGTCGCCCCGGTGTGCAAGACCGACGGTGTGGTGGTGGTGGGCGCCGCCCTGCAGGAGCACCTCCGCGTCCGCTGCCGCGTGGCGGCCGACCCCGCCGACGCGGTGTCCTTCTTCTGGCAGTTCAACAACAGCGGCAACACGTACGACGTCCAGGAGTCGCGGCCCGGCCCCATGACGGCCGACCTGGAGTACACGGCGCTGTCGGAGCGCGACTACGGCACCCTGGCGTGCTGGGCCGCCAACGAGGTGGGCCGGCAGCAGGAGCCCTGTCTGTTCCGCGTCGTGCAGGCCAGTGAGTACCAGCACCTGTTGCCAGCATTGTTGGCACCGACACTAGCAGAACTAAGGCGCAAGTTCGTGTTGCCCTCTGCTTCCAAGCTTCACGCTTGTCAGATTCCCCCAATGCTTCGGGTAATTCGCAGTAATTCCTTGCTTCATTTCGAGCGTCAGGTGGAACACTCCACTTGACTCCAGCGAACTGCTACAGGCGCGCCCTAGTTTTGCCAGTGTAGGGACTGCAGTGCTTCGCCAGCTTCGCGCTTCACAGCACCACGCGCACGCCGTGAGTGGCTCGAGCGCCGCGTCCGCGCCGTGGCTTTTCACACGGCCGGTGTGGGGCGATGGGTGTACCCCCACGATGAATGTGCCGGGGCACACCGTAGCGCCCGGCGGCTGCACCTGCCCGTGGCACTCGCCTGCCGAGCGCGTGGCCTACCCGCTTGTCCGCGGGCGCTCCGCTGCAGTGCGGTGTGTCAGTCGCGTGCAGTGGTGCTGCGTGAAACCTATTTGAACCTGTTGATAATCGAAGAAAACGTGTTCCTAGGTGCGCCCGGCGCGGTGACCAACTGCTCGCTGCTGGCGAGCGGGCCGGGCGGCCAGTCGGGGCGCGTGGACGTGTCCTGCGTGCCGGGCCACCCGGGCGGGCTGCCCCAGTGGTTCTCCCTCATCCTGCTGGAGCCGCGCTCCGGCCGCATCCTCTTCAACTCGACGACCGGCGAGGTGGACGCCGAGCCGCAGTGGTCGCTGGACCCCAGCATCCTGGCGAGCGCGGTGAGCGCGGCGCGGGCGCCCGTGTCGCTCGTGGTGCGCGCGCACAACCTCAAGGGCCAGAGCGCGCCCGCCGTGCTGGACGACAAGCTGGCGCGCGCCGGCATCGCCCGCCAACAGATCCCCGGTGCGTACAGAAAACGGAAAGAAAAAAAAATTAAAAACACACAGCGTTTATTGATTGGAAAGGAAAATATTTGCCGCGGTGGGCGGTGTTTGTTGTGGTATCGCAGCCCTCGGGCGGGCCGTCCACATATCACGTCACGCGCGTCGCTCCACCGCCAATGAGTGCGAGGGAGACGGGACGAGTGTTACGTGATACGTGGACGAACGCTTACCGACGCGCCCGGCACTCGCCGTTCGGCGGAGGCACTCTCCGCGTCGACGTCCCGGCCGTCGGGGAACCCAGAATTAAACTCATGAAAAATTCGGCCGCTGCCAGTGAGGCGGCCAAGCGGCCTGCCAGTGTAGCGGCGGGGGCGGCGCGGGATTCAAATGTATGCACGGACGGATCTCGCTCTTCGGCGCTACTATTGAGACTGCCATGCCGACGCCATGCCGACGCCATGCCAAGGCAGAGGCAAGCCCAAGCAAGCGGGAAGCAAACGGAAGGAAATACTTGATCATTGCTGGAGGGAAAAGGAAAAAAGCACCCGGGTAGAACTTGCGTCTTTTAAAGTCTCTCGCTGGAACGCAGAGCAAAAGGGATTTCGCCCTTCCGTCTTTCGAAATTGGGTAGTGTTTCTTCTGGCGGGGTCCGTCTTCGCTCGATGCGAGGATGAGTTTGTGACGAAACTCCGCTCCTTTTCAAAAGCGGTGACATTGCTGGGAAAATTCACACGGCGTCCATGAGCCGTGTGAACAGTGTAACAACAGCGACGTGAATTTCTCCAGGTCATGGGGGGTTGGGTGGACAGAGGGAAAGGGGTGGGACAGGGAGGGGGGGGGCACTCTTGACAAACCGATGCGGGCCCACAGAAAACGCAAAACCCAGCCAGCGCCAGCCAGCGCGCCACCGGACAGAGATCTCTCCTGCGATCTCCACAAAGGACTACCCCACGCACGTGGGGACGAGGCTGGGGCTGGCGTGGCCCTGCACTGTTAAAAACGGAGCGGGCCGCGAAAAAAAGTTGGCGACCCGAAAACCCACATTGCGGTGCCCACACACGCCACGCACCCCGGGGGAGGGCGAAAAAAGGAGGGTCATCCTTCTGGGGGATTGGGAAGGGGGATCGAGCTTGTTTTGGAAAAGGCGGTGGCCGTTCGAGTGGGGCAGCCTCGTCGTGGGGCTCGTCGGGCTCGTCGCAGCAGCTGGCTGCCTCCTCCTTTCTCCTCCCGCCATTCCACGTAGCGTAGCGTTGAATCTTCCACTAATTAGCGTTCCGGGCGATAAAGACACGCGCGGCGGCAGCAGCAGCTGCAGGCCAGCTCCGAAACCGAGGCTCCGTCTCTCCCGCACTCGTGGGGCGCTCCGCAGCGCCGCGAGAGAGACAGAGCGACTGGATGCAGGCTGGGCCCGGGCTGCTGGAAGTGGGACGCGGAGGGTCGCCGCTCCACTGTAACTGCGTGACTGCGGCAATGAGACAGTGTAAGTGCAACCGCCCGGCTCTCTGTTTCCAGATCTGATACTGGGCGGCGACGGCTCCGGCATGGTGGGCGTGGCCGCGGTGGTGCTGGGCGTGCTGCTGCCCCTGGGGCTCGTGGGGCTCGCCGTCGTCGTGTGCATCGTGCGGCGCCGCAACGCGCTGGGCCTCGCCGCCGGGCTCGACAACAAGGTCAGTCTCCTCCTCGCGCCGTCCCAGGCCCGCTGGGGCGTGAGTGAGGCAAGCTCCGGCCCGCTCGGCGTCGTCGGGGAATCGAGTTTGACGTGTCTGTGTCCCCGCAGGTGAGCCACAACGGGCTGCAGGGCCCCGGCCAGGGCCACGGCCACAAGGGCGGCCTGCCCTCCAGCCGCAGGAACTCGTCGCTGGAGATCAACGACGGCGACCAGCGCTACGTCGTGTCGTACACGCTCAAGGCCTCGGCGTCCGGCACGCCGGAGCGCGGCAAGCAGCACCTCCGGCCGGACATTCTCAACACACCCAGAGGTGAGCGCACCGCCTGCGGACCGCCAGCGCACCACCGCCAGTCCAGTGCTATCGCCGGCTATCACCGCGAATTATGTTAAACGGGGACGTGGCCTGGGTGCGGCCAGCTAGGCCAGCCGGCCAGGCCAGCCGGCCGGGCTGCAGGACGCTGTGGGATGCTGCGGGACCCCTGTGCACCGCCTCGTCTAGCTTGTCCCGGTCAAGCACGCTGCGCGGCACGCTGGCATGCGGGCTGCCTGGCCCATGGCCTGGCCCATGGCCTGGCCTACCCACTGCGAAAGTGCCCGCAGTCGAGTCCCAGACCGTCGCAGACCGTCGCAGACCGTCGCAGACTCACAGTCGGGGCGGCTGACTATTGTGGAGCCAAAACGGCTGCCTGTTCCGAGCAAAGCCATCGACTTACCCGAAAAAATGAGCCAAATTTCACTCAAATTTGTCGCCAACCCAAGAGGCATTTCTTCCAAGATAAACCCGCTTTGGTTCTCTAAGTGCGGGTTAAGTGGCCGGGGTTAAGCCAACGGAACAAGCCTGAGGCTGAGCTTTTCATGGCTGTCGTTCTTTTCTCTCTGCCTTTACTTGCGGATGCCGCGTCGCGCCTCCCATTCACACCCAGGGTCGAGAGAGAGAGACTGCCCCGGGGAGACGGAGTACCTGGAATACCTCAGGCTGCCCCGGGCCTGTTCGCCGTGCGCCACGGGTGGCCTTTGATACACCAACCCTCTCTCTCTCTCTCTCTCTCTCTCTCTCTCTCTCTCTCTCTCTCTCTCTCTCTCTCTCTCTCTCTCTCTCTCACACACACACACTCTCAGCCTCTCACACACACTCCACCTCCGAGGCAGGTGGTCTGGACAAATTAAATCGCCTTTGCCGTGTCGTTGACCCGCCGTCACTGTCAGGACGCAGTCGGTACGGTTTACCCAGCACCAGCCGGGTTTCCTGTTTGCCGGTTTTCCTGTTTCCCGGTTTTTTCGCCCCATCCCGCCTTCGCTCCTTTGACGCCCTCGCGCCGCCGCCGTCCTCGCGAGAGGGAAAGGGGACTGAAGGGGACGACGGGGACACTGGGCTAATTTCGACGTAACACCCCTGGGGAGTGCAGCCTATGCACTGTCCCGTCCGCCCCGCCCCGCCCCGCCCCGCCCCCCCGCCCCGCCTCGCCCCGCCCCGCCTCCGGCCCTGTACTAGAGCACGTCCCAGATCCCTCCTCCTGACTTGCCGGTCCTTCGGGATGGGATGCATTCCTGCGGTGTAGCCGGTGTAGCCCTAGCAGGTCCTCGGCAGGGACTCCGTGGACTTCATCCATGTTCCATGCAAGGGAAAACGGCGTGCGGCCCGCCTACATTTTTAAGGATTACTCTCTGTGCGTGTGAGCGCGGCTGTGTGCGTGCGTTTGTGTTTTCGTCGGGGGCCGCTTTTTGGAACATCATGAAAACGCGTTTACACGCACACTGTGCTACAGGAAAGCGCGGCCACCCAGAAAAGCCTTCATCCTTCCACATACTAGATATTTAAAAAAATTTCTTTGCTGGGCCGCTGCGCCCTTAAAGCAAGCCGGGGTGTGTTGCTTCTGTTTTAAGCCACGCATTGATCTAAATACCTCTCCCCTGCTCCCCGCTGCCCCGCTCCCCACCACCCTGCGACCCTGCTTCTAGGACAACAGCATGTGGCGTGCGTTGGTCGGGTTCGACCGGGAAGGCGTGGGTTGCGCTAAGAGCGGCTGAGGCGGGCTGAGGGGGAGGTGAGGCTAAATGGAGGCGGGGTTGCCTATGTGGGTCGCGGCATATCAACATTAAAACCGTATCCCGCCATCCGAGCTTTTTGAAAGGTCTTTGGAGTTTGGAGCAAGGCAGTCCCCTTGTTGTGCACTTCGAAAGGAAGAGGTGGTGGCTGGGGCACAAGCCCACACAAACGCACACCCACACTCACACACATACATACATGGGGGTGCTATCGTAGCCCCAGAACCTCGTGACCCCCTGGCCTGCGTTGGCCCGACTCGGCCTTGAATGAGAGTGGAGTGGGGTAGTAGGGCGGACCCCGGATCCGGACCCGTAGCGGCCAGACAGGACCAAGCACTCCCACGTGCCTCAAGGCCACTCTAAGTAAACTTTGCATACACTTTTAGTTTACTTTTTGAGTTCATCCTTTTCTTTAGATTTGCGGGAGAAAAAACTTGCATTACTTCGTATGGGCCAGTCGTGTCTCGCTGCGCAATCATGCAGAAAACATCGCGGGCGTGAGCGCCCACAGGCCCACACGTGCACCGGCATGGTAGCCTAGGGCAGGCTGGGGCGCGGCAAGGCCTGCGCTGCAACAGGACAAGCAGGGCAACTAGGCCGACAGTGTGGTGGCTCTGCTCCTCGACGGCCGGAACGGCCAGCACGGCCCTCGGCACGGCCACCTCCACCGCAGTCCTGTGCGATGCGGGCGGCAGAGCGGCCAGGCCGGCAGAAGGGGCGTCCTCTACTAATTTGCAGATTATATCAGCGCCCCCTCTCCGCTCCCCGCCACCATGACTGTAGGGCTGCCACCACGACTGTAGGGTTGCCACCGCGCCACCGTAACTGCGGCCCGCCCGGGACCCCGCCGCCTGTCTCTCTCGCACCCCCACGGAACGCGCAGCGAGTGCGAGAGAGACAGGGCGAGGGTGATCGGAGGCAGCCTGCTTCTCGATGATGCTCACCGTGCCGTGTGTTTGCAGCAGTGGGCGGCGACGCGGCGCCCAAACCGCCCACGCCGCAGCGCCCGGACTCGCTGTTCACCGAAGCCGGCTCTGGCGGGGCCGGCGCCCCCGGCGGGCTGGTGGGCAGCTTGGTGGGCGGCACACTGGGTCGCCGAACGCACGCCGTCACCACGCCAATAGTGAGTACCGCACCGCCTCCGCGGGCAACGGAGCGTTCAGAACGGTCAGAGTCACTCAACTGTTTCCTCTGTTGCAGTCGCCGGGCGGCGGCATCTCGCCGGGCATCCGGAGCCTCCGGAGCCAGCAGGGCGTGGTGTCCTCGGCCTCGCTGTCGTCCGTGCCGTCGCCGCCGGACCGCGCGCCGCCGCCCATCGCAGCGTACCCGCCGCCCTCGCTGGGCACCGCGCACCAGACCCACCAGACCCTCAACGGGTCGCTCCGAAGGACGAAAGGGCTGTTCAACAGCATCCCGGGCCCAGAGAGCTGTGTCTAAGACCCCGCCGGGCCTGAGGCTCCAGGAAGAAAAACTGTGACAATAGCTTCGGGTTGTGCGAAAATGGTGCAAGCGGTGCAAAGTGAAAGTGACACTGTAAAGAATGGGACGTTCCATAATGTTGTCTGACTTGTTTATACATATTGTTACCGGACCAAACTCCTCCTTTTATGCATAGATATAAACTATGGCCAATCTGCTGATTGCGATTTCTGTGTCTTCCATGTGTTGCTTTGTGTGAGGTGGAACTGTTTCTACTATTTGGCACTCCGGTGCTTTCTAAGATTCTCTTGTAAACGTATAAGGCTATAAAGTGTGGTGCCATGAATTGCCTCACAACGGCTGCCCCAAGTGCCGCTCGTTCTGCCCGTTCCGAATGCCGTTCCGAGCAAGTGAATCGGGATCGGGTGGAGTTACTGCCATCTTTCATGTGTGCACGCACACACTTGCCATTAAGATGGTATCCGTCGATGTAGCTAAATTTACATATCTACATTGAGCAAAACTGCCTAAACATTTAATCTGCCCCAGCCACTGAATTGAAATGCCCTAAAGATTAATCTGTCTGCATCTACACTTTTCAACCTACTGATATATAAATGTAAGTGTTTGCATCACGGCTTTGTCAAGGAGAACCGCCTGTTTGCTCCCGAAGACTCCACGATTCTCTCATTGCAAAGTTACCTCGTTTCCAATCCCGTGCCGTTGAAGATACCTTGTTCCAAAGCACGTGCCAGAATAATTGTAGTCTAGTTTTTCACACGAATTTATTGTAAGTGTTTTAGAATAAGCTGAGGTCGTTTCCCTCTGTGAAAACTAATTCTACTGTTGCCAATGTAAGAAAGGGACTGAAATAAAGGAATTCTCAAAAGTTTAAAATTGTGGTGCATGACTTTGCTGTTTTGAAAATCCCGCCACAGTCCTCCATTTCAATGCCGCGAGGTGCGAGGCCGGGAAGCCTGTGGCTGTACTCCACGCACTCAGGTCCTCGTGTGGCCTCTGCAGCGTGCCCTGCCGAGGGTCAGCCAAGGGGCTTGGCTGTAGTGCCAGGAAACAGCGGAAACCCGTTTTACTTTCAATGAAAATCGTAGAGCATCGCGTCTCTTGGACAGGGGGGCACAGGACGAACCTGTGAGGGGAGGGGGGGGCGGAGCTGAGCGCAGGTGTGTGGACTGGCAGACGAACGACAAGGTACGCCTTATCGCGAAGCCAATAGACACACTCGAAGAAAATATTTTGTTAACAATCTAAGGTTTTGCAGAAATTTTGTCCCGTCGAGAAACACGAGCATTGCGCTTCGTTGCCACTCTCTAGCGTGAGGGAAAAGTTAGTCATTCCTGAACTCTCATGAATTTTGGACATTTTCCCCCTAGTAACAGTGGTGGATCAAGAGGCCCCCCCCCCCCACCACCACCTTTCCTGGGGTCTGCGCCTGCCCAGTAACTCTTATCTGACCGCGTTGGGAGAGCTCTACTAATCCATCTTTATCGGGTTAGTGCGGGGGGCCAATGTGAACCAGCGTGTCACAGCCCCCCCGGGTTTAAATTCCGTGTAACTTTGGTAAGTTAACCGGTAAATTTTAAGTTTTTTTCGGACAGGTTGACATAGGTCCAACTGTTCGAGATATTTTCACAAATCAAGAAGGTAAGAAAATATTTTTTATGAGATTTGATTATTTTTTAGCATAGTTGCAACCATGCAGAAGTAATCGCCGTTCCTTTCCCCGGCCTACCTCGCGGGTCACTTCGTTGGCCAAGAAAACTGTTTAAATAGCGAACAAACGCCCAAAAGCTTAACTACCAAAAGGCAAAGACAACGCCAGTACACTGGAGAACAAGGGAAAAATTAGCCCTTTAAAGGGGGTAACATTTCGCCCAACATAAATCGCATGCCTATTTGGGGAAAGGGGATAAGTTTGGGTGAAATTCCAGACTTTACGCCCTCGCAAGATAAAACGATTTATGCCCTTTCCAGTTAATGTTCTTTTCCTAGCAAAGTGTTTTTTATTTTGTAATGCCATTTCAATAAAAATAACGTTTTCAACTTGATCTATATTATTTTTGATGATTTTCCTTATCTTGTTATTTCAGGGTTTTTTCAATATTCTCGATTTTTACCGTAAATTACGGTAAATTACCAATTTTACCGTAAATTACCGTCAGGGTTGAAAATGACCGGTAATTTTAAAACCCTAGTGCGGCCAATGTGAACCAGCGTGTCACAGCCCATCCCGTTATCTTCCTTGTAACTTTGCTTTAAGTTAACTTTTCGGTCAAATTTTAAGTTTTTTTCGGGACAGGTTGGGCCTATCTCCACCTGTTCTGTAGATATTTTCACTCAAATTCAAGAGAAGGTAAGAAAATATTTTTTATGACGAATCATTGATTATTTTTTAGCATAGTGGTAATCCATGCAGTCAAGTAATCGCCTCTTCCCTCCTCCGGCCCTACCTCGCGCTTTCCTTCTCGTTGGCTCAAACAACAAAATGTTAATTATCTTGTACAAACGCCCAAAAGCTTACCTACCAACAGGAGAAAAGGACAACGCCAGTACACTGGTGAAACAAAGGCATAAAAATTATGCCCTTTAAGGGCGTAAACGATTTACGCCCTTAAAGGGCATAAATCGTTAATGCCTTTGGGAAGGGCATTAAAATTTTGCTTGAAATTCCTATACCATTTACGCCCTTCCCAAGGGCATAAAACGATTTATGCCCTTGCAAGGGCGTAAAAGAGTATTTATGCCCTAAAGGGCGTAATTTTTATGCCTTTGTTTTACCAGTGTACGGACAGACCCTTATCTCATTGCTGTCAGGCCGTCCTCCGGTATATCCAGTTAAGGAAGACCCGAGTTCAGCCCTGGGTTTGGCCCTGACTTCAGCCCTGACTTCGGCCCTGACTTGCGTACCTCATGCGACATAGGAGTGGGAAAGAGGTCATAGACGACTGGGTAGTCTTGAAATTAACGGCAAGACAAAATAATTTTGCCCGAAATCACTCGCTTTGATTTCATGTTGACATTATTATGACATTTCTGGTCTCCCCGGGAGGGCTGGTGCTTGAGTCGGGTCTCAAGTCAGGACCGAAGACGGGGCCGAACCCAGGGCGGAACTCCGGGCTTCCTTAACTGGATATAGCACTCCCTTCAAACCAAGTTAGTTGCGACAGGAACGATCAAACGAGTTGCCAACTGACGACTTGTGCTAACTTTTAAATTTAGCGCCTCTGCATGGTTCGGAAGTATGAGAAATAACTAGCTACTTCCGGTAGGCGGTAGAGTCCTTAATGCCCTTTGGGGAGAACCGTCAACTGCGTTACTGACTTCTGACCGATTTGGTGCTCATACTGACGATCAAAATGTCCGCCGAGCGCTTCCGCTTCCGGCGGGGATTTTAAAAATTCAGCAGTGAGCCTCAAAATGGCTTCACTATTTATCTCCGACATTCAAGGGATCTTCAATGAACTAATTTAAAGAGGTGAGGAAGTTTTTAGGCCTATTGCAAGCGCTGTCAAGTCTGTTGACCTCACGAGGCCCGGAGCAGACGACACAACATCAAAGCAAAGCGACGCCATTTTGATCGTCAGTATATGAGGAATCGCGCATAAAATTTCGGATATATGAGAAATAAAACGTAACACTTTTCAAGTTGACGGTTCTCCCCAAGGGGCCTTTAGGACTCTAGTAGGCGGTTTTACAATATTTAGATTCAAAATGTCGAGCAACAAACCTATCTGATTTTTTCGTCACCCTATTTGCGTTGTTTACTGAATATTTTGATTTTCAATGCACTTCCAAAGTTAATGCGGACCACGACTTAATAATTGAAATTCCATTGGAGGGTAAGTTGTTTTATTGATCGGATCGGTGGGCGTTCAAAGGGTGCAGGGCTAAGGTTATGTTCTTAGCGGCTGCAATATTTTTAAACCATTTATTCACACCAGTAAATTTCGAAGGTACTGGTTTTAAGAAGTAAGGATGTTCTAGTTAAGCTTTTGCTTGGCATGATAAAATCATTGAAACAGTTGGTAACGGCTGGTTTCCCGCCTTGCTTTACCTTTGATACCTCTGGCTTCTTTGCTGTGGTCCTGTGGTTGTGGTTTGTTGATACAACAAAAAATGTTGTCAACATTTGTGTTGTATATTGGTTTGATTTGGTGGTTTTATTGTGCCTTAATTGGTCTTAACTTGACCTTAAAAGTCGTTTAAGTGCATGTTCAAGGGTTCAAATTGGTGTTCTGATTCTGTGTTTGTGTTTGTTTACACATTGCAGCTCTGTAAAATCTATGGGGAGGAAGATGACTTTCCGTTACGTTAACAACCCTCGCCGGTTATTTTACCTTGTTTTATTAACATGCTGTTTATATGGAGCGATTATTATAATTCGAACTGTCATGGAAGGTGGCGTAGAAGACCTCGACAGGAGTTTACAATTGTAAGTTGGCCGTCGATTGTCTTACATATCATGAATTTTCATGTTTTGCTTCTATTTCAACACAATATGCTTTCTCTACAGAAAAGAAATGATTGGAGAGTTCAACCGTGCCTCCAAGATAGATATTAAGTAAGATACATTCTTTCAAAAGTGCTCCTCTCGAGAACCTCTAGTTTGGGTTTAATTCTCACCTTCTGTTTTCCAGAAATGTAGGGCAGGTTTGTCGACATCCAGTTTTGCCTGTGAATGCACCTGAAATGATGAAATTCATCAAAAGAGTGGAAAAATTTAATTGTGATCCAGAGAAAAGCTGGGTTGAAGTGAATGGTTCAACAGCTTTCATTACTGATGAGGCCAAAGCTCTTCATGGAGAGATAGAGTGTTCATTTACTGGTAAGAAATAAGGCAAAGTGCCAAAAATGTCCATTTATGGTGGAATTGTGCCAAATAGAGAACTGCAATTATTTTTCTAATGTTAACAGATATTAATCGTAATAACGAGTATACAACATCAGATGGGCTTACAACTTCAACCCACACGCAGTATAATCTTGAAGCAAGTGATTTTGTGAAGACGTACTGCAAATCTGAAAGCGGCGATTAGTGAGTTAAAATTGATAATATTTCAAGTATAATTTGGTTAAATGCAAAGGTACTGATGCATTGTTTTTACAGCTGGAATAGCATTTTAGCGGGAATCCGTCACAGTGAAGAAATATTTGATCGCATTGGGTGGGAACAAATTCCTAAAGATGCCTTGGGATTGAGTGTTATAATGTGGGGAATGGATTCCATTTCCAGAAATAATTTTATTCGGAAGCTCCCTCGAACTTACACGTACCTCACTGATCATTTGGAAGCACTGATCCTTGAAGGCTATAATATTGTTGGCGATGGAACCCCTCAAGCTCTGATACCAATCTTAACTGGTATGCTACTTAATCTGTTTGACAAGATTTTTATTTGTCTGTATTATTTTCTTGAATTTGAATTTCATGTTTTCTTGTAGGATTTACTGAGTTGGAGCTTCCCGAAACACGCAAAAGGAAAGGATCAAAAGCGACATTTGTAGATGCCTATCCATTCATTTGGAATGACTTTAAAGCTAATGGATATGTGACAGGTACTGTTTTCTGGAATATTAGAACTGTTAATGTTGGAATAAGCTTATACATATCTTGTACATGATGCACCTCTGCTCCTCTTTTGATCTTTGTTACCCATTATTACAGGCTATGTAGAAGATCAACCTGACATAGGAACCTTTACATACCGTCTGAAAGGTTTCAATAAAGCTCCTGTTGATCATTATGGGAGGTCTTTCTACCTAGCAGCTGAATCACACTGGCGCAATGAGAAACGTTGTCTAGGGTCTCAAGAATGTCACAAGGTATGAGCATCTCATGGTACGAGATCTGAACATTTTATTCCGTCTTCACAAAGGTGATTGTATTCTATTACATCTGTTACCTTTTCCACAGATAATGTTACAGTATACAGAAAACCTGATGTCTGTTTATCGAGACAAGCCTCACTTCATGCTTTCTTTTCTGGCCCAACTATCTCACGATAATGTGAATCTGGTTGGAACAATGGATGATGACCTTCACGATTGGTTAGTTGACGTTCATAAAAGGGGTCTCTTGAATAACACACTTCTTATAGTCTTCAGTGACCACGGTCCAAGGTGAGGTGTAACTGAGAAGCTTCCTTTTTGAATCTATGTATTGGGAATTGGTGTGCAGAAACATCTTTTTATCACCATTTCAGATTTGCTGATATACGCCAAACTATCCAAGGAAAGCAAGAAGAAAGACTGCCGTTCTTTTCATTTGCATTCCCACCCTGGTTCAAACAGAAGCATCCTGAGGCTTATAACAATTTCGTTCTCAATACCAAGCGCCTTACTTCACCATTCGATATTCATGCAACCCTAAAGGATATCATTCATTTTCCATCTAGATTAGGAGAAAATAGTTTGAAAAATCGGAGTATGAGTCTCTTTAAGCAGGTTGGTCCACTGTGAACGTAGCAAAAAAAAAAATTTATGTGAACTGAATTAAACAAACCTTGTTTTAATTTGCGGAGAGGTGTGTGCAATGTTCCATTCTGGTTTTGAATTTGAAATAATAATAATACTTTTCTTTCTTAGATTCCCTTAGCAAGAGCATGTGCTCATGCACACATAGAGGCTCATTGGTGCGCGTGCCTTGATTGGGATGTGGTTAGCATCTATGATTCTACCATCCAAGAAGGAGCAATGGCCTTCATTAATTTTCTGAATAAGTAAAGCTCAGATTGTAAACAATGTCTTTTCTGAAAATCATGTGTGCTTGTTCTTTAATACCATTTTTATCTGTTTTTAGATATACTCTGCCTCACCGTGAACTATGTGCGGACCTCTCATTGGATGAAATTATCTGGTCTGCTAGGTTACGGCCGAACCAAAAGCTATTGGCATTCCACCATTCATCGGACCCTGATGGTTTCAAACCAGACTTATCTGGCTCTCAAAAGGCTGTCACAGAAATGCTGCAAATAAAGTTACGGACAAAGCCTGGGAGGGGCTTGTTTGAAGTATCAATGTCCCACAATCTGGTATCAGGAAATTTCACAATTAGGGTATGCAAAGAAATTACTTGCTTATGAGTTAAACATCACAGGAGATTGTCTTATCTTAATCTATCTATTCATTTTCAGGTTCAAGATGTCAGCCGAATTAACAAATATGGTTCTGCTGCCCACTGTGTGATGGCAGCTAATCAGGATCTAAGAAAATATTGCTATTGCAAAGAACCTCCTGTTAATAATTAAGACTTTGCAGACAGCTTAAGTTTGAAGTATGTAAGACTAATAGGGCAAACTTGTTAGTTAAATTTTTTTTTTTAATAATTCTTTTGATTTTTGTTGAGGCAATCATCAGACCATTCATCTAAAGACCAAAATTGGCTCTAAATGTGTTTCTTTTTTTTTTTATCATTTCCAAGCCAAGTTAGTGATATTTCAAATTGTTGGCTCTGTGCTCCAAAGACTACTGTTGCACAAATGTTGATGTTCATGCAACTATGAACTTACTTTAAGTTCAGACTAGAGAGTCTGTTGTGATTCTAGTTTGGATCTGTTCCTTTGATTAATGGTCTGCATATGCTTGCTAGTTTTTGTGGTTGAGGGGATGAAGAGCTAATTATGTATTGGCACATGTAATCAATTTTCAGTGTTCCTTGAAAATATGTTTAATATTTAGTGTCAAATGCATCGTGTCATGTATTAGTGTCTCTTGTTATCTTAAATGAAAGGTAAATGGGAAGCACAAAATTCTAATTATTATCTTTATGTACTTCATGATGAGTTAACTTTTCTGTGATTTGAATCACTCTGTGGCTGAGTCAAATTAGTTGTGATTCCTTTGTTTGGAATGTGGTGGGAATTGAGGAGAAACAAAAAAAAAAAAAATGCTTCAATAAGGAAAGAAGTATTGTAATTGTATAGTGCATGTTATGTTCAAATGTCATGCACAATGTACTTGAGAAAATATTTGTCGTATCATAAAGTAATTTATGTGTGATATTCTCATCTACGTTAGTCATGTTTACCAAATTGCATAAAAATGATTAGGTTTTGTCCCGTTATCCAAATTATGTTTCTGACTTAGAGTAACATACACCAGCAATGTATTTTCGCCTCTGTATTTTCTGTTGTTCCTTTTTGAACCTTGTTGTTGTGGTACAGTCTATAGGAATTACTTAAATAAAGCAATGGATATTTGTTTTTATACTTAAAAAAAAAAAGAAAAAAAAACAACCTGTATATGTAAGATTTTAAAAACCGGTATTTTATCTTGTGCTATCGCTGCTGTCCCTCTTGTTGATGATGATCTTTGTTAGGTTTATGTTGCATTCTTACTACACTGAATTTATGTTTTTGTAAACTTTTTCCCTGCTTCTATTCATCAAGTTAAGTACGTCCGGTTATGTGCCTGTGATTGAAGTCCTACCAGTAATCACTAATTTTGTAGTGGCTTTCTTACGTTCATTCCTATGAATGAAAAGTTACATGAAAATTTAATGTATTTGCGTTATTCTCTGTATTTTGAAGAGCTTATACTGTATCATATCTGAAGTGAAAGAGTTTTATTGCAAAGCCAAGGCATTTGATATGCCTGTTGCTTTAACAAATGCCCCTCTTCAGTATTTATTTCTTTATAGAAAGCGTATGAAACAACTTCTTAAATATTCTTTGAGAGTTAATTATAGCCCAGTAGTTCAGTTATGATTGGGACCAATCTCCAAATGTATTGGCCAGAATGCAAAATGCTGTGTCAGTTTCTCCTTAGGTGTTTAGTTTCTGTGTTGAGACTGAATGGATCCATCTTTTTATGTTAAACCTCATTAGTACTTGGAGCTATCAGTGTACCCCTAATGTCATAAGGTTGAAGTATTTCCTACTTTTTTTTTGTGACAGAATGATCACCTTTGCACATTAGGTCACATTGCTCAATGACATTGTAAGTGTCTCATTCTTGTTCTAGTCTTATGTGTTGCATTTTAGTCATTGTTTTTTTTTTTTTTTAATGAAAAGATGGAAGTAGCCCTTAAGTAGTTATTTCTTTTTTAGTGAAGCTGTACTTATGTTATCCTAAATTTTGACAACATTTTCCCCTTTGTCTCGTTTACTGTATATTTTGTGAAATAATTTGGTTTATTTGTTCAATTTCATTCCAAGACTGTAAACTAGACTCATTTCATGTGCTAAGGAAAGATTCTCAGTTTGAAAATAAATAAATATCTGATTTGATTACAAACTTCCCTGTATGTCATCAAACTGTTCTCCATTTTTCCACAAAACCACCGAGTTTTCCCTCTTTTTGTTCCCATCAACCAGAAGAACTTGTGTTGATTCGATTGTGGCAGCGTGTGTGGACTGGCTGTGATGCGTTTAAAAGGCATGTCAGAAACGCGTTTTGACACTTTGCCACGCCCACTCCCTGGCCTGGCACCCCTGCCTGTAAGTTTGGGATATCGCCTAAAGAGGGCCATGACATCACTAGTCGTTTCAGACAACACCCGTGTATTCCTCCGAGGCATAGTTTTTATTTTTTCAAAGGTTTCCTGCTGGGATCTTGTTTTTAAAATAAAAGTTGAGGTGACGAATCGGCAGAAAAGTGGCAGTATTGATAAACGAGGAGAGCGAGGGCGCAGCGGGTCGTCGCGGCTGCGGACTGTTTTCCGTGGCGGAGGCGTACGCGTGCGCAGTGCGGCTGCGCGTCGGAGGACTGGTTTGTTTCTGCGGTATGGTTTGGGTTTGTCGTCTGTCCAGCATTAATTTACCGATTTTGGCGAGAACATCGCTTGTTTTGGTCTCTTCTGGATACCGTCCTGGCGCACTGAAAACAGTGAGTACAGTTTGTGATCGGCGTGGCGGGTTCTTGTCGGGCGGTGTCCTATTTGGGTGCGATTATGGTATTGTGGGCTAGGCCTACCGAGGTCACGAATGACCGGTCCTCCCGGCGGTGGAGTCCTGCCGATAGCATTAATGTGTTGCCAGCCAGCTTTTACTCAGTCTTCTAGAAACTTAAGATGCTCTGCGAGATTGTAGTTAATTCTAGAATGGTAAATCACTTTAAAATGGAATGATGCCATTCAGCACAACGGTCCACGAAACATCTTAATCGTCTGTCTTGACGCCTCTGTTTGGATGTGTTTTTATGTTTCTGAGCCCACTTTCTTGTTTCCTGTGACTATCGGTTATTTAATTACTACCTACTCGAAAGTCATTTTAAGCTTTTTAGTAGGCTCCTTGATATTTTTCCGATTTTATTCGCTTTTTTAAATACTGGCACACTGTTTATTGTATGCACTAACCTATGTTTCTGTCTGGACACTGTGGTATACTTTGTTTGGCATTGGACATTTAACTGAGTTGTTTTGTGCATCGTCATTTTAAAACAACCCGAACATTAAGCATTACCTTCACATATTTTGAAGCTATTTTATTTTCTAATAATCAGTTATAAATATTTCAGTTAAATGTCACTTGTCCCATATAATGGGGGATACGGTTTTTGGACCATTGTGGTTCCCCTTCTTCCGTAATGATTTTTCATCCTTTATTTTGTTTCTCTATCCTTGGCTGTTACTCAAGGCGCACTAAAGCAGGGAAATTATTATTGGACCTTGCTTGCACCGATTAGCAAACAAGTTACAGCCTCATTGTTATGCTGTCCACACATATCTTTGCGATACTGTGCCAAGATGGTTTCTCCTGATGAATCAGTGTAGTTTTAGATTTTAACAGCGATGCACTAAATTACCATGTTCAAATTCACTTTGAGAAGTGTTGTTAAAAATTCCCCCCAAAAATAATTAAATTAACCAACTGTCATTAATCTGTGAATCTTTGTTTTTCGATATTTGCGAAAGAATCTTGTTGAGGGTGTGTTGTGGGAGTGGGCCGAAGTGGGCGGGGTGTTGTTGCCTCCCTGTGGAGGGTATCAGTTTTCACCGTCATCAGTTGATCACCTGTGACTCTCTGGTGGCGGCCAATCTTTTTCCGCCCACCTGCCTGTAGGTGAGACTGCGACCTGGGCCACTTCTGATGCCGTTGCTTGTTGTCTCTCCAGGTGCGGTGTTGCTGACGGTTGGAGGGCGCTGCGTGCGAGGGGTGAGTACCGACCCGTTTGTGTCTCAACCGTCGCCCGTTTCGTTTGCCTGGTTTGCCGCCCGTGGCTTCAAACTCCCTCATGCCGCGGCCGTCCGTCAACGAGTAAATTGTTTGTGTGTGGAGGGGCGGAGGTAACGACCCTGTGCATTATGGAGTAGCGACTCCCCCGGCCTTTGAAGCGGTCAGCAAGTTTTCCAGCCCGCGGAAGGTGGGTGAGGGGTACGCGTCCATGTGGGCCCGTGGGCGTGGCGGGGGCGGGGCGGGGCGGGGCGGGGCGGGCGGGGCGGGGGTCGCCTCACCCAATCGCCCCAAGTGGCGCGGGGCGTGGCAGGCGTGGCGTGGCAAGGCGTGCCTCAAGTCACCTGCCAGGCTGCCACAGAGTACCACAGGGCACGGTGCGGCTGGGTGCGGTCGGCCTACAGCAGACTGATTCCGACCCTGTCGCTCCGTCTCTCTCGCACTCACGGGGCGCGCCGTCTAGGCCCGCAGAGCGGCGCGGAGGCTTCTGTCGGGCCGTCACCGCGCCTCGCCAGTGCAGTGAGACGTCAGCTGACGCGATGACGTCACGCCAACGCCCACGCAACAGGGGGCGGGGAGAGGGGCTGTCGTTGGTGACTGAACCAAAGAATCCCCGAGCGCACCGGGGCCCGGGCCGGTGGTCCTGGTCTCCGGGGAAGCCCGCGCGCCGCGCGCCTCCATGCACCTCGTGGCTGTCAGTGTCGCTGCCGGTCGCCGCGCCCCCGCCTTGTCCTTGAGTCCGTGTCTGTCTGCCCCTTGGGTAGTCAATCTCGCGGCCAGCCCTGCTGCATATTGGGACCGGACCCCCCCCCCCCCCCCCCCCATTTCCTTGACTGCACTTGCGGGGCGTCCCTCTGGCGGGCCGGTGGCGGCGGTGGGGCTTTGCTGGGCTTTGTGGGCTAGAGAGGATTATTGGCACCACCCGTGGCCTTCCATTGGGCCCTTCAGCCCCTGGGCCGGACGTCTTAATTTGTCCCCCCCCCCCACACACACACACGTTACGTCCGAGTTTACCAGTGCGGTGCCCGCGCGTGGTTCTAGGCCTTGTTCTAGTCGGCCGGGGTTGGGCCAGTCGGGTCACTCTGGGTGGAGTGCGAGCGGAGGGCGCTTCCTGTGCCAGATAGCACCTTATTGTCTGCGCGTTTGCGTTCGGCGGCATTGTCGTCGCTGTCGTGTCGAGTGCGGGGCAGTGCGGGGCAGTGCGGGGCAGTGCGGGGCGTGCAGGGCGTTGTCCACCATGTAGGTCAACATGACGCGCCGCCCCGTCCGCCACGGCGTGCTCCCTGCTGCAACAGGGCACTGACCCCCGAACGCCGCGACCGCCACGCCCTACGCGCTGCCGGGGCCCTTTGCCCCCCCCCCCCTCCCTTGTCCTTCCCCTGCAAAACCAACAGCACTCTAGAAACTCTATGGCGCACTGTGTCTACACTGCTGTAGAGCGCGCCTTGTTGACTGACGTGCGCACTGAGACACACTGCGTGAGTTTTTTTTGCGTTTGCAGGGAAGGAGTTTCTTCACGAAGTTGGAAATTTCTTTCCAAGAGTGCAAGACTTGGACTCTCAGGGATCCCTAGTATTTGCTGACTCGCTTCTGGCGTTGCTGGCCGGTGCTGAGTAGACCCTGTGTTCTCTGGGAGAGCGAGCAGTGCACCTTGGGCTCCGCCCGTTCCACCCGCTCCGCCACCGAAGTCCTGCCCGTGTCACCGGGAACCGCCTGGACCGCGTCCAGTGGCCCGTGTCCTGCGGGGCCCGAGCCAGTCATTGGCGCCTGCTCTGCCTGCTCTGCATTAGCAACGAGGGGGCAGGCCTGGGCCCCCGCACTGGTCCCCGCGTGGGGTTGCCGCGCCCGCCTGGCTGCATTATGCAGTGGCGGTGTTGTCCTAGGGCCGCCGCGGTGCCTGGACCGGCCTGGAGCTGGAGTGGCTCCAGCGCTGCGGGCAGGTACTCCCGCCCGCCCCCCGCCGGGACAAGGCGACATTGCGCGAGTTGGGGTTCGATCCCACCTCGCCCCGCCGTTCTCTGGCCCGCTTCCGGGCAGAATAATCGTGTCTGCTTGGTCGCGCCGCTGCTGCCGCTTCCTCGCGCCGATTGGCTGAGCGCCGCGCGCCTTGCATAGCCAGGGTTCGTGCCCCGCTGCCCCACCGCGTCCTCAGGGGTGGCGGCGGCGGCCGGTTCCGCCCCCTCCGCCTGCGGGTCTCCGGGTAGCGAGGGGCCGGGCGGGGGCGGGCGGGGGCGGGCGGGGGCGTGCTGGGTATTGATCGCGGGAAAAGAAGGGCAGGGGGGAGGGAGGGCTACCCGCCCCCGGGGCCCCCCAGGGCGCCACGGCACCGGCGCTTCCTTGCAGCGGGGCCCTACGTCACGGTGAGAGGCCCCCTCTCCCCCTTTCTCTCAACCCTCTCTGGATGGCGCGCTCCTCTGGAGGGCCTCCAGGCGCCTCCAGGTGCGGCAATGTTGACCCTCCCGCGGCAAGACAATGCAAAGGAGGCAAAACGAAAGCGGAAAAAAGACGAAGACAAACCCGGAAGCGGCCGGCGAAGATCCGCCACCGCCCGGCCGCGTGAGGCGTCCCCGCGTTTTGACTCGCGTTGCCATGTTGCCGTGAATGAGTCCGCGGCCGGTCTGGCTCTGGCACGCTGCAAACGCGGCACGACGCGGCACTCGCGACGCGGCTTTCCCAGTGTCGCGGCTCGCGCTGCGTGCTTGGCACGCCGCCCTATCGACTCGCTCGTTTTATTTGGACCCCTTCCTCCTCCCCACCCCTTTCGCCGTAAAAAAAACAACAACAACAAATCTGCAGCAGCGCATTCGCTCGCCGTCGGTTGACCGTCTCCTCGCTGCGCCGCGCCCCTTCGGCCGGGCCGCCTAGTCTAGTGTAGGTGCTCGTAGGGTTGGCGGGGTCGTGAAGGCCTGAAGGTCACAGGGGCCCCCCTCGGGTTTGCCTTTCCGAGGGGAGGGGGGGGGGGTGTGCCCGCGGACGGCCTTTAGGGTGGAGCGCGCGGAGTGAAGGGGGTTGTGCGACCCATATTCTCGCTCCCCGCCGGAGCCAAAGGCAGGCAGGGCAGCCCGGGCAGCCAAGGGCCGGTCTGCAGACCGCGCCAGTCTGGGGGAGAGGGGGGGGCGATGGTAATGGCGAAAGGGTTTCGCACAGCAGTCCTGTCCTCGTCCGCCGCATTCTGCCTCGCTTTCTTCCTACCGCCCTCCCTCCGGGCGGGGGGGGGGGGGGGGGGGGCTCGGCCTTGGCCAATTTGCCGAGGATCACCGCCCCGAAGCCGGCGCGGCCAGAGACTTGATCAACTTGATCAACTTTCGGCGATAGTTGTTTCTGGCGCCTCGTGAGCCGGCCGGGGGCGGCGGGGAGGGGAGGGGCGGCACCAGGGGCGGCACCAGGGGGCCGGCAGGGTCGCGGAGACGGGGCTGCAGCCGCGCTGTCTCTCTCGCACCCCTAGGGGGCGCCCCGCGAGTGCGAGAGAGACGGGACGACGCTGTTCGGAGCCGGCCTGCGAGGTAACGCGATCAAGTTGGGTAATCTGGTTTGAATAATGCCGGACTGTACCATCGCCTTGAAACTTTGGGGCGCCGCGACGAGCCCTGTCTAGTGTGGGGCACTTCGCCGCACCTCACCTGCCTGGCTCGCCGACCTGTGGCCTGTTTATAGCCCGGATCGATGTGACTGCGAGTAATCGGCGTGCGTTTTCGTATTTATAGGACGCTAGAGGTGGTTTTGGAAATCACAGCGGCGCGAGGCATTTCGAGGACGCAGGGGACACTGTACAGAGATTCCCGCGCGCAGTGTGAGTGCGAGAGAGACAGCTTCTGCTTGTAGGCTCGGACGAGGGACGGCCGGGGAAGGGAGTCTGAGCGACCTAGCTGGCTGGACGACAGCGGGACGGCGCCTGCGGTTTTATATCGTCTGGACGCGGAGCACGGCGTCGTGGCGCCACCCCTGCCCCTCCAGCGCGCCCCGCCCCGCCCCGCCCCGCCCCGCCGGGACGTCTCGGCAACGCTCTGTGGGGATGCGGAAGGAAGCGGCAGGGGCGGGAGCAGGAGGGCGAGGGGGAGCGAGCGAGGACGCAGCGGGTCGATGTCGGCACGGCCGGGCACGGCCCAGACCGATCAGCTGACGCCCTGGCGTGAGTTGGCGCCAAACTGGAGGCCTTTTAGGTTGCCGTCGTGTTGAGGCGTGTGATTCTGCTTGTAGAGGCCTGGTGGATGGATGGACCGAGATGGACGCCTTGCACTGCTGGCGTGGCGTCCCGGCCGGAGGGACCCGGAGGGACCGGCACTGCGACGGTGTGCGGAGCGCAGCCCACGCCAAGACACTGCTTTGTCCTGCCCTGCCGGGCGGCAATCGAACGCAACGCAACGCCCGGCCGCGCGGAGGGAGGAGAGGCTGTGGCCGCGCTGGTCTAGTCCCCGCTCACCCCCTTTTAGAGCACAAATATTTGATGTCGGCCGATGGGGGACGCTTCAGCCGTTCACCCGTCCGCTTGTTCGTCCGCCCGGACGATTGCCCGGAAAAGCCGAGGACAGCGATGGAAACTCGAAGCGCTCGGTCTGCCCGACGCGCGGGCACCCGAGGTCGGTAACCTGGTGCGTCTCCTCCCCGCTGCCCTCCCCAGGGCCGCAGGAAGCGCTGAGCCCTTTTCCAGGGCGTCGTCGCCTTACCCTTTTCTGCGACGCCGCATCCTCGCTCCTCTTTATCCTCCAGATCCGCACCGTCGACAAGACCGTCCACAAGACGGGTGTTCAAACAGGATCCGCGCCCCGCCCCGCTGGCTTTGTAGTGTGTCAGCCCCTGCCACGCTGGCGATGCAGTCCCGCAGCACCCGGCTGCGTGGCGGGCTTGCCTACCCCGCCCCGCCGCACCGTTGCCATTACCATTACGGGCTAGGCCACACATGACCGTATGCCATTTCGGGCCCGACACAAGCTCGACTGCACTGCAAAACGAGACGTGGCCGTCCTTACTGAGGTGACGGCGCG